GTTATTTGTCAATCATAGTAGTGTCGACCAGACTATAATGTGTCAATCATAATAGTGTCGACCAGATAATAATGTGTCAATCATAGTAGTGTCGCCCAGAAAATAATGTGTCAATCATAATAGTGTCGACCAGATAATAATGTGTCAATCATAGTAGTGTCGACCAGACAATAATGTGTCAATCATTGTAGTTGATCGATGTTCCATAATTTAGAAGTATTGTTTATCAAGATTTAGTTAGTTAATTTGCAAGTCTTTAAAAGAAAAAAATGTTAGTTTTGCAAATAGTCACATTTTATGGAACCTGATTTTAATTTGTCTCTTAGTGCTAAGAGTTTTAATAGCAGACTGTCTACTGTATTTGTTACAAGTATTCAAAAACATGTACATGTACTGTATAGCGCTTTTAATTCGCGGGGGTCAATATTTCACAGTTTGGTATTCGGTACATATTCATGGGGGTTAGTTTTCGTTGTGCACCCGAATCCCATGTGTCATGCAAAGTATGTTGATTGTCATAATTTAAGGGTTAAACCTCGAAATACATTATCGTTTTGAAAACGCTGATAATGTTATTATGTTAAACCCCAATAGGAAGGTGGAGGTGATAGGCTGTAATGTTATTATGTTAAACCCCAATAGGAAGGTGGTGGTGATAGGCTGTAATGTTATTATGTTATACCCCAACAGTAAGGTGGTGGTGATAGGCTGTAATGTTATTATGTTATACCCCAACAGGAAGGTGGTGGTGATAGGCGCTGGATATATTGCTGTGGAACTAGCTGGAATTTTCAATGCACTTGGCGCCGACACTTCAATCATGATCCGCTACGACAAGGTACACAAATATTTACTGATTTCTGACACAATGCCTACATTTCTATAAATACTTGAACATTTATATATCAGGAATTCATGTTTTTTAAGTAGTAAAGTAAGAACTAGCTATGCATGTATATAATTAGATAATTGATAAAAGTTGTTTTTAAATCAGTAAATTATCCAGTGGTTAATCAAGTGAAAATTAGGCTTAAGCTAGTGTTATATAGAAAAATAGTTTTCAGTAGAGACTTGAACACAATCTTCCTGTTATTAGGTGTTGAGGACATTTGACCCCATGGTCAGTGATATGGTCACCCAGAACCTAGAACATGACGGGGTGAAGGTCGTTAAAAAGACACAGACAACCTCTGTGAAGAAGGAGGAAAATGGTACATTGACCTTGGAGACTACTGGAGATCAAATAACAGATGTCAACTGTCTCCTATTTGCTATTGGTCGGGATCCCAGTACACAGGGACTGAACCTGGAAAAGCAGGTAAAACCAGGATTGGTTTGTTAGCTTATACTAATAGTGAACCTGGAGAAACAGTAACAATAGTACTGGTTTGTTAGCTCAGACCAAGATTGAACCGAGAGAAACGGGTATTAATTGGATTAGTGTATCAGCTGAATTAGAGTGAATCTGTTTACACCTTCAGATTGATGGTCTAAGCGAACACCTGTTGAACTTAACACGAAGTTTTCCTTTCTTGAAAAAGAGGGTGTAACAGCCTAAATTGTTGAAAATAAAAAACAAAACTTTCAAAAAAAATTTATGTTTTCAGATATTAAAATTTTTCTCTAATGTACAAGAGTTTATCTACCGATAATATGACATAATTTAATCTCCTACTGTCACCATTTTGTCTAGCTTATTTTGGCATTATAGTTGGGTTTGATATAAAAGTATGTAAGGATTTGTTATGGATAGGCATCAAAGGTATATAACTTGAAAGTAAGCAAGGTGGCAAACTAAATAAGTGGCAGTAAATTAATGTTTTACTTCAATCACAGCTTACATTGTATAGAAGGTATGTGTACTGACTTTATAACAGGATAGTATACGTAGACCACAGGGTCACTAGTACTGACAAAGGTCACCTAATGTGCAAGTACAGGTAGAATCCCTGATATCAATATTTAGTGTGATGTCCTCTGTATCAGGTAGAATCCCTGATATCAATATTTAGTGTGATGTCCTCTGTATCAGGTAGAATCTCTGATATCAATATTTAGTGTGATGT